GTCTGTCGGTATCCGAATTCCTGGGGCACAACTAGGAGATGGCCAGGCTATCAATATGGTCTTCCATATGCAGATCTAGTAGCTAGCAGCTTTAGAGCATCCTGTACATCTCCTGAGAGCTGGAAATATATTTCTTATCCCGGGACACATGTCTTTCGCATGCTCCGGCGCTGAACACGGCTGCATGCCTTCGCCCGCAATCGGAATAAGCAATGCGAGCTTGTGCAAAGTAACACCGATGTGTGCCTCTCTTTGCGAGAATACTTCGCGCCTACTGGTTTCCCGGCTCACAGACCTGCTCCACCACCTGAAATTATACTACATGTTAGTCTCGTACTCGACGACGAGCTAGACCGTCGACGTCTTGACGGTGCACTCGCCCTTCACTAGATCCGCCTTGTGGCCTCGGTTTCGACCGGTTTCAACGTCCCGTTCGAGCTCAAAATATGTGTTGCATTCGTTGTCCGTAAGTACAGTAAATACATGCCCCAGTCTATCACGACACAAAGCCCCGCTCCCGAACAATCACGCCGCCCGCCGTGCCCACTTACGTTAACGCTTGACGTCGAGCCCTCGAGCTTCGATGTCTGCCATCGGCTAGGTATTGACTCGGACCATGTGTGCGTATACTCGTTCTGCTCGGAGCATGAGTTCATTCTCATTGCACGGCGAGTGCGGACTCACTATGCGCAGGACAAGCACCTGCGCGAGGAGCATGTCTGCGCACTGCACTTGGACGCATCGCTGTACGAGCACGGCGCACGCGCCTCGTCCTGTGTCCTACGAACGCACATCGTCCATTGACCGAGCCGAATGGGAGGAGATCGCGAACGCGGCATGCGTTCCGCATGTCAAGCCGCCCAGAGCATACGTATGGCCGACCCTCGTCTAGACCTCCGTCGACGCGCGTCGTGCGCTGGTTGGTGCCGGACGAGGCCCTCCGCCTTCCCCATCACTTAGACTCGATCCCGAGCGACGGGCGTGTGTCCCGGACGTTCGTTGATTGGGTCCCGGAGTGTGCGTGCCCACATCGGACGCCCACGTAGCGGCCGTGTATTCGTTTCCGTGCTCGTAAGCCGGAAGGTGCGCGGGCATCGCCGGTGCACGTCCGCTCTGTTGCTCGCTAGCGATGGACATCGGAGGGTATGAACAAATAAGTATCGTACGTCGAGGATTCGTGTGTGCCACTCACCTCCTTCCAGCTTCACATCGCTGCCGCCAGGTGCGTCGCCCACCGTTCCCCATCCTTTCCACTCACATTTCTCATAGACGTAGGCCGTGGACGCGGTGCACGTCGTCTCGCAGCTCCGACCCACGCATGCAGGGCTCGTTTCGTCACACTCGTGGTACGTCCGCCGTTCCGAGTCCTACTTCTGCCTGCGTTCACGATCGCATTCAGCTCTGTGCACACATCCAGGTGCGCTGGAGCGACGCATGCTCGATGACTCGCCTGCATGCCTGGTGAGTGCGCATAGCATCGATGCCCAATCTTGCTCACAGAGTATCAGATTTGAAGCATCTCGGCGGGCGCACATCGTGAACGCATACGTACCTCGCACCGTCCGTTCGTGCTGCAGACACTGCTAACTTGGTTCTGTCTAGCCCGCCGTGCCCCACTATCCTCTACGCGCGAACGAGGCGGAATACTACGTGTGGTGAGTCCTCTTCGCGCATGACACTCTACTAATGTGTTCCAGTAGGTTCGCGTCGATCGAGCCCGCCGCGGAACCAGCCCTCGACGCGCCCGGATACTTGCTGTGAGTCCTCGCTCGAACGCAGCCTCGTTCTCACCGTTCGCAGTCCCCGTAGACACGAGCTGCAGAAAGGAGTTCGCACGCAGCGCATCACGCGCAAAACGGTACGTACCTTCGATTTCCTCGCCGCAAACATCATCGCCTGACCTACATCATCTGCAGTACTCCCCGCGCGGCCAGATGCGCGGCGTACTTTGTGAGGCGGGAAGGGCGGGGGCAGTAGTTACGTAGTCGTCCATGTACCACATAGCACAGCGGTGTGGAGAGGGGACGACGTGCGGGAGACGTGGAGGGCTGGGCTGGGACGCAGCCGACGCCGTCGAGCACGTTCCCGCCCCAGGTGAGAGCCCTCCCGCCAGAGACACGTGGGGGGCCCCAACGCGCGCCCCGCCCCGCTGCACCTCTCAGGGACGCGTTCGTGTCCGCCCTTCTAGCTGCACGCGTTCCGGAGAACGCCGCGAGTCCACAGCCGCCCAGGGACGCCGTCTTCGCACATCCTCGTCGGGGCCGAAGAGCACGAGACGGGGCGCCAGGTGGGTGGTTGTGGGTGCGGCGCGAACGTTCCCGGGGCTGGCGCCCGCGCTCGCAGTCGTCGCGGACAACGTCGAATCGTCGCGCCGCCGCGCGCTCCGCTGTCTTGCATCCGTTGCGGGACGTGGGCTCGTGCGGCGGCGTGGAGACTCGTCGCTATCTGCGCGGCTGCGGGCCGCGGGCGGGGGTGTGCAGCCCCGGGACGGAACCGGGACTGCCTGAAGGGCGGCGAAGGTTGGCGGAGCCGAGGTGCGGAGACGTGCCGTGCCGTAAGTGCACCACGCGCACACCGGTGCGCCCGAGCACGACGTCGTCCCTGCCCTGCACACATCGCGTGCGCGTGCTCGGACGTCCATGCATCTCGCGTCGTGGCTCGTCGAGTCTCCATGTCACGACGGCGGGCGCGCAGCTGCCTCGTACGCCGAGTTCTCGAGCCTGCGTGCGAGCGACGGACGCCGCCTGCTCTAGTCGCCGTGTTGTGAGGGTGTGGGGACGTCCTGAGAGAGCGCTCCGCGTGCGGACGGGGCGCGTTCGCGGGTCTGCGGGGCGGGGGCCCAGTGTTCAGAGCCATTGTCGAAGACGTGGGCGGCGCGGCGACGACGAGGCTGGGGACGCTGAGCTCGCTTCTCGGAGATATTGTGAGCGCGTAGTGTCAGCAGCCGTGAGCGCCCGTTCCGGAACGAGAAAGGAGAGGCGCAGACTGCGGGCAAACTGCGGGCGTCGAGTGCGCATGCCCAGGCCGAGGCGGCCGCGCACGCACACGACAGCGCCCGTACTCGTGCTCAATTCCTCGTTCATGCACGAGCCAGAGTATGTACTGAGCAGAATAAACACTTACAGACGGTTTCCAGGCCGCCGCGCGCTATGTATCTCGCACGGGCGAGAGGCACATTCTGTATAACACCCACGCGGCGCAGCCGCTGGAGGCCGTTCGGATGAACGTCGCGGCGTCAGACGTTGAAGATCCCGTGTACTGCACTGAATGTACCTGTAAGTGCCGCTAAAATTCGCGATAGAGGAAGTCGAAATGTGAGCAACGAGCCGCACCTGCGACCGAGACGTCTATGATTTGGGCGCCTATTCTAGTGGCGGGCGAGCGCAGTCCGTATCGAGCGCAACGTCTTCCACGCGGGGACGGCGCCTTCGAATACAAAACTATATGTTTGGTTGCGTATCATAGGAGCTGTGCGAATGATATTAGCAGGTTTCGTGAAAGATAGCGGAGAGGGCGAAGGAAAAGGTAGTGAAGCCATCTTCGAAAGCAATCGACGCGTCGAGGCCGCGGAATGTCACCGTTCGAGCTGATTCCAAGCGCACAGGGATGCGCTGAGCGAGAGGTATGCGTACAAGCCGTAACTTGAAGTTTCTGCGACCTTTGACATTCGAGCTCGAGGCGGCGCGTGGGCGCCTAACGCCTCGCTGGGCAAGCGTGTTTGCTCATCGTCGACGGTGTCCGCCACGCTGGCACGGGGGCTTCGAAACGTGAGCGATCCGTGAGGGGTACCTATGGAGAGACAGGATTAGCGCTACGAAGAGGTTCTATTGAGACTTGAACGAGGCATGCAGGAATTCGGAGGTGGGGTCCATGACGAAATTTCGCAATTCCGCACGCGGGGCCGCGCAAACTGATGGACGTGATGGACTAATACCTTGTGAGCATGGAAAGCGCGACGCGGGGTGTGTGGAACGAACCGTTCGAGTACGATACGCGTTTCTTGCGAAATGCGCATCTTGTTCCGCTCGTACAGAGCGCGCGAGTCGATTGCCAGACACGCAAAGGGTACCTATTTGTGCGTAGAGGGTTCCCCGTCCGCGCTGATAGGGTCCCGCGAGGGGGCGCACGCGGGATGATCGTATCTCGTCGAAAATCGGGAGACTGTCTGTAGACCGCAAATGACGTGAGTAGAGTAGACTGGCAGAATGAAGAAATGCACACTTTCGGACGTATATGCGCGTTTGCGGCGGGTTTTAGGGTGTCTACTTGTACGGGTACGTCGGCGGCGTCGATATATGCACTTTGGGGATATGCCAGGCGTGTAGGAGGACGGGAAACGGCGGGGAGAGGGTCGAGAAAGGCAGGACAGCGAGGGCGAGCACTGCGGGAGGGCCGATACGAAGACGCCAGAGCGCGGAAAACGAGAACGGAGCGCGGGTCATTCATTGAAGCCAGCGTGGTCGAGGACAGAGAGAGACGCGAAAAGCATGGGCGAGCGATGTGGACGAGCGCCAAAAGAGGCCGCTTTCGCCGAGCTGCGAGTGCTGGCTAGGGTGAGACATGGTCTGAGCTGTCGCGGAGAGTGGGATGAAGACGGCGGAGGAAGCTGGCAAGCAGTCGGAGGAAAGCACGAACGATTCCTGTTCTGACGTCATGCGATCGGCTGCCGAGGTGAGAGAGGAGCTGCGGGCGCGGGGAGTCCTTGAGAGGCCCCTTTGGACGGGCCAGGCACAACCGTGGCACGTTCGCGCATGGCACGTGATGAGGCGCGCAACGCGTAATTACGCGCCACCCGCGCCGGTCGCGTCCCCCGCTAGCGCGCCTCCCACGCTCTCCCAGCTGGGAACGGCTCCGTCCCCGCACAGTCATCCTGCCCAGCGGCCTCGGAGTTGGCTTGTTGATAAACCGCTGTCGTCGACGCGAATTGGTATATGCAGTTCGCCCTTACACACATTGTCGCTCGACATCTGACGCGCCCAGCAACATCCAGGGCCTTTGGTATGGCTTTGACAAGGTCAGCAACGCGAAGCACCGGTGCTACGCCGGAGGCTGCGCAACAGACCACCGCCGCAGCCCAAACGAAGGCGGCTGCCACAAGCAGGAAGAGGAGTCAGAAGAGCCCCGACTCAGCAGCAGAGCCCGCTCAGAAGAAGCCCCGTGCTACGAAGGCGAAGACGGCCAAGGCTGCGGCACCCACTGCCTCAGACGCAAAGACGTCACTAGCAGCGCCCAATACCGCCGTGCCCACCCCAATTCCCAACGCGGAGGGCGAAGAGCTCGTTCCAGCCGTGCTCACCTTCTCCTTTGAAGAGGCAAGGCGGCACCTCGTTCGCGTGGATCCGCGCTTCGAAGATGTGTTTCGAAGAGTCAAGTGCAGACCGTTTGAGCATCTCGAACGCGTCGATCCCTTCCGGTATGCACGTGTCTTCCTGACATAGATCTATGCTGAGCAGGGTGCGATATGACAGAACGCTTGCGCACTCCATCTTGTGAGACCATCACCCGGAGTGTCCCTACTTGCTAAGACTGACAGTTGGTGCACGAGCCAGGGGCCAACAGATATCATGGAAAGCCGCGGCATCTATAACACATAAATTCGTGCGCCTATTTGACCCATCTCTTCCGGAGAGTCTTGCGGATTCCAAGTAAGCCCATCGTCTCGGGATAACCTAGCCAGGCGCTGATCCTTGCATGACTCGGAAGGTCTAACTTCTTCCCATCCGCACATCAAGTTATCACCAAGGATATCACGACTTTGCGCAGCGCTGGACTTAGCGGCCGGAAGGCAGAATATGGTCAGTGCATGATCAAAGTGGCAAGAACCGACTATCTGAACGCATCTGGCAGTCCTGGACCTTGCTGGGCGGTTCGCCGACGGCCGCCTGTCGACGAGGAAGTTGCTTCTTGCCGATGACGAGGAGTTGTACAAGATGTTGATAGAAGTGCGCGGCATCGGAAGAGTGAGTGTCGTGCTATCCACGAAGCGATGTCCGGTCTCTTACGAAGTGTCCCTTCATGTCGCAGTGGACAGGTAAGTTCGAACCGACACTCGTCGGGGGTGTCGCTCACCCGTGCCACAGTCGACATGTTCGCGATGTTCTCGCTGCGGCGGCCGGATATCCTTCCTGTCGGCAAGTCTTCTCGCTGTATGATGAAGTTTCGCATTTTGACGCTCGTCTATATCGATTCAGGGGACCTGGGCGTGCAAAAGGGCATGTTGCGCTGGTTCGTTTCCCTGCACTCGCCGT